AGTAGGTGGTACATATAATTACCACTGACCTCTTTTGGGTTAAGTAACGTATAGCTACGTATGCAACGTGAATAAAGTAAACAGAAAACTAATATAAAATTTTGGTTTTGGAATAAGGTCATTTGGAATGCGATGGTGCAACAGAATAGTGAGTGACACGAAAATTAGTTGTGGTGTCGCGAAGTCTCGAACAAGAAAGAGTCAAGAGAATGTGTTACGCCGATAAAAAGCGAATTGAGATTAATCCGCACAAAGTCGATGCTAAAACTACGAACCTCGTGAATCGTATCAGAAATGACACGCAGTGCGTCAAAACAATTATTCCATTTACAAGACGACAGAATTATGATAAAGATTAGGCAGAATTAGGTCATGATAATGAATATATGTTGAAGAAACGTGGCGTATCTCTGTCCTCAATCTGCAAATGACGTCTGAATGTCCCTGATTTGAATTATTCTTTATTTTCATTTCAAAAACTTGAAACATTTCTCACACAATACGTTTTAGGCGAAGACGAAAAGGACCACATCACAGGCAGACAACAAATAATATGATCACGGTGATTATCTGTGTCACGTAATACTGACCACATAGGATGGAGTTGTCAGATAGGACCACTGTCGCCACTTTCACTCCATAATCGAGAGTTCTTGTTCCTACACAAAGCCCTGACAGATAAGCAATAAAAATACACCGCCAGAGAAAACCCACGTCGATTCCAAATAAGAATTTCGAACTGTCACTAACAGACAGTGAACTAGATTTTACTGTTACACCGCCCTTTTAAACCCAAATGACGACTGAATGTCCAAAACAGTTGTTTATCGGAGCGAAAAAAAAGGTCCTTTTATTTATTTAGTGGCCCAAGACAGAGGGATGTACAAATAAGTTTTCTGTGCCCAGTAACACGCTCGGCTACGACCACGCTGTGTGTCCCCAGCTGACCGATATTAACTATACTTAGTATGGACGTTGTGCCATCTACCACAAGTCTGTAATAATAATAATGTGACGGACAAGCAAACGTCTGTGGTGGTGGTGGGTCGAACGGAATAACGTTATTGTGTGTTTGATACTTTTCAATTCTCCCGTCATCCCCAACGGGAATATTACTAAAACCGAATATAACAAAAATCATCGAAATTTTTGAAACGAGGCAACACGTTGAATTCATAAATGTTGAAACCAAATTTCTACCTTGTCTGGAAGAATAAGTTTATGAAATCTAGAGTAGCTTTGAAATGCGTCTGTTAACAGCAATTTGTAACTAAAAGTTACGGTTCTGCACCCATGAGACGAAGACTAAGGTATAGAACAGCCCTCGCTAGCATACACATTTATGGGCTTAGACATTCCGGCTCTTATTGGACACTGAAACCTGATTCTAAGTTGCTTTTTCAGAAAGGTACACTCCCCCCCCCACCACTCCTCCAAAAAAAAAAATCCGCGTACTGAAGCAGACTGAAGAAATTCTACTTAACTTCTAACTTCGTCACGAAGGACACATCGCGCGTTTTTACAAATTCTGAATTACAGCAGCGGAAATCACAAAAGTCCTGACTGCAAATTCATTTCCACATGTTAACGAAAAACGAAAAATTATTTGCTTAAGTTTAATTTCCAGTCAGATGTAATGCAAATAAAAGTGGCCTACACCCAGAAGGGTCGATTAATTACACCAAATATTATACTTTAACGGGAATGCGAGTCAAAGCGACTGTCCTCTTGGTTAAATCCGGGCATCGGGTCTATCCACGCGAATCCTCCGGACACGCGTCCTACTTTTTCACGGGTCAACACTAAAGAAATTAACGCAAAACATCTGACGATCGAACGTCGACGTTCAGCAATTCCGGAGCTATTGCACTATCTTTGGACGTTGCGCAATCAAATCCACTAAAAAAAGCGTCGCTAATTAAGCCAAGGTTAAAAAGTAATAGTACATTAGCTCACACTTGTTTAATAAAGCATCTCAAATGTCACTATCGATATATCGATCGACCTTCCTATTAATTTACAGTTTTCAAGAGGAAAACCAACCGAGGTGGTAATGAATTCTCTCCTCGCTGAGAGCCAATTTGTTACCGGCCCCAGATCATAACCGACCACACAGCATCAGAACTCGACGCCCTTGGGAAATCCACAGATTATCGTAAACATTCGGCAACTTTTATAATCAGTGCTGTTGTAAAATGGGGGCCGTCTTAAAACCGTATTTAGTCACAATTAAATATAGAACTTATATGCCCTATAACCACGATAACTGATTACTAAGAATTGCGAAAGGCGTTTTCGTTCTTCGGCAGCGACTAATAAATTATAATATAAGCCAGTCGGGCAGTTTTAATTTACTTCGGGGTTAACCTTCTATCAGATGTCTCGAACAAAACCCGTCCGATTGACCTAAAACTTCCACAGCAGACACTACGCCATCTACAAGCTGATTACATTCCCTCATAGAGAAGGGAGAAAAATTTTCACTGTTGCATAAAATAAAAATGGGAGAAAATTTTTCACTGTTGAATAAAATCCAAAACAACTACATTATTACGGCGGTGACAATGTTACGTCAATCCTCTGGGTTATAACGCCCTGTGAAATTCAGCCCTGAAGATGTACGCAGCAATCTCATCCGAAACGTTGGTATCTACCTTCAATTACACACGGCGTCACAACCCTGGAGACAAACATCGACAACTGAAAGAAAAACTTTTTTATTCCGACAATTTCATTAATTCTAAGGTTCAACACTGTTATTCCATACATGCACTTTTTGTCTAAAATTTTGTTATTAATCAATAAACTTTTTTTTTTTACTCGATACTTTCGTGCCAGGAGACGAACTGCTACATTCTTCACAAAGAGCATCAAAATATGACAATGCGAAGTCATCGTCATCGAAGTTAACGTTCTTGTTCTCACGACAAATTTTTGATCTACGGAGTAGCTTCAGCTGGCTGGTGTACTAGTAGTGGCATCTGTGAGAAAATGTACAAACTACAGGACATAATTCTTACGATCGTGGCCCCATCTGTACGATTTTATTGTCGAACTACGTCATCAATACGTCGAGGAACATGAAGGGTTAAAAGTTTCGTGTTTCTCTGAATTTACACTAAAAATGATCTATTACTAGCAGCGAACGGTTGTATCTCGAACTTAGATCGAAAGAACCGTAGAAATTTTACATTTGGAGGAGTGGTCTCCCATTCATATCGTGTCTAAAACCCACGTAATTGAAACTGTAACAGATTATAAGTTTTTAGTATTATTTAATTTAAACACATGTGATATAACGAATAAGAACTTTCATTACTTCAAATGCAGTTAATTTAAAGAAAATTACGGGCGATGAACGAGTAATAATTCGCTGTCCTGTTCTAACTAATGGCAATCGACACACCGCCGCGTTGGCAGGCAACTACTCCGGCTACAAAGCACGACGTGTAGTCTATACCATGTGTTGCAGGCGTAGTCAGAATTACAGCTGTGATCGAATCGTTCCGCTGGTAGTCAGTGGTTTGAACACGGATCCATGGAACACGAACAGTGAGAAACACTCTTTATTGGGGGGTGGGGAAGAGAGAGAGAGAGAGAAAAAGAATCTTTTGTCAGAAGGTTCCCAGGCAACGCCCACTCGTCCTTCTGGAAAGGATAACATAACAGTGAAGACATGAAGGTGATAATTTCTGAGATCTTTAAACACCCAGTCCGTACCGCGAAGACAACACTACACTTCACCATTACAAAGATCAACTGGTTAACGCTGTTTATTCTGATAATCTTAAGAAACGTACCAATAAACTCTGTGTGCAAAATGCATAGCCACCGACTGTTAAAACGCGTAGTACATAAAGTCACCAGTGAGCTTTACAGGGTTAAGAAAGTTCGCGTCGGTGGGAGTTGTGTTTGGGCGGAAATTAGGTGTTGGCAGCACTGGGGCGTGATGATTAATGGCAGGTCCATAACACACGCAGGTGCTCCGCCCTGTATTGAGCATGCAAATAGACGAGAAGTTTACTGAAAGGGGACTGCACTTCGTAACCCGGAAAAATCAGACACGAACAGCGGAGTTCTCTATAAATAATGTATTTCGGAGGCTGGCAAATGAAGAAAATGCCTGCCAGTCATGTGTCTCCCACTCTTAAAAATTGCATTCTACGCTCGTCCACAAGAACATACTTGGCCTTCGTAACGTAACACAAAGTTGACGTATATTTACGTCTTCAAATTTTAAAGACTACGAATAATCTATTCCACTGCTAAACTACGTAAAAAGTGTTACTAGTTACGTAACTAAAGTACTTGTAAATTAATAATCTGAACTATTTCCTGGGTCGTAAGCCTACAGGCGGCTGTCTTAGGATATCATCAAACGTGTGTGACAGAACCGAATACCGAGAGATAGACACAGTGTTTCCCGATGCTTGGAGTCAAACTTAAAATAATACACCGATAATGTCTTACGCTGATGCGCACAGTGATAGTCTCACATGTGGGATGTGCACGACGAACTCCTTACAGCAGAAGACATCTGCCCGATTATGAATCCTACTACGCAGCTTCATAGAGGAGTTGTCAGATTCAAAACCCTCTAGGATTTGAGTGAGGTTTTGTTATTGTTATTCGAGATCTGTTCGAATCAGCCACCCAAAGTACCACAAGATCTCCAGGCACAAAGCGCTGGATGTTTCTCGCAGAATTCAGTAGCCTTTTGGCAAAACCAATCTCAATTAGACACCTGCAATTGGGGTCGAACTGGTGCTGATGTACCTTGGATACATGCTTCCGAGGGACTATAGAGTGGCACAGGTTAGGGTCCCCTGTGTCCCAGAAGGCGGTAATGAGTCTGACGGAACATGTTCAAAGCTACGGTCCTTTCTGGATTTCATCGACTATGCTTCATGGTTGTGACTCCCTTCCGAATTTCCCTCGTAATTCAGTTCCGAATTCCTACAGCCTTACAAGAACAATCCAGGAAGACGTTCACCACTCACCGGCTCTGAAGATCTCGCCACAGCCATCGCAGCGAGACGCGAATTGGGCATCGTAGCAGTTGCCACAATAGATCTTGTCGGCCTTGGACCCGAACTGCTTGTCCACCAGGGACACTCGGCACTTGTTACACAGGAAACAGGCTTCATGCCAGTGCTTATCCTTGTACGACAGATCCTGCAACAGACGGCTTGTCAAAGTCGGGCGTCATTTATTTTTGACAAAGGAGAAAAAACAAGTGATGACCGCGGATTTGGGTGCCCCTAAACGATACGTCCTTCCGTAACAATTCATAACCATTTTAATGACCCTCACATCAGATGTTTCTAAAGCTCATGAGACGATGAACCAATTTATTCAAATAACAAGTAGGAAGAAATTTGAACCGGAAGGGCTGACCGACATGTTTGCGTCATTTACCTGGAGGGACTGAGGAAAGTAACGACTACTGTTAACGCCATTCTCAGATCAGAAACGGGTCGTCCGTGCCCCCAATGCAAACGTTCCTCTGCATTATCACCGTCTTACTAGATTTTTTGTTTTATAAAATACTTTTATTCTACTTCTCTTCGTTTTAGAAAAGAGCGCGTAGCCATTAAATTCATTTTGAAGCCAAGTGCTCAGGAAAACATTTGGACACGAAAATGACGAAGACCGTGAGAAATTAAGGGCGATGGATCCCAACACGATTAAGGGCCCTACGCGATCTTTGCGCAGGGAGGGGTGTCACGCAGTGAAGGGCAGTGACTCACCTTCGAGTCAATGCCGATGGTCTTGCTGCACTCCTCGCAAGCGTTGGCGAACACCGACTCGTAACATTTGATGCAGTAGGGATGGTCGTCCCTGAGCACGTAGCGCTGCCCTGTCAGGGACTCATCACACTGCCAGCAGCAGAAGTGGCCGGAGTGCCAATCCTTCGACATCGCTTTCGTGTATTCTCCGCTGAAAATTAACTGCAACGAGAAGATGACACATTACCAAAACGCGTTCAAATCCTCAAAGCGGGCGGTCTACAAAGTGCCCAAATCTGATCGAACTTCACACACAAACACACATACATAGGGTGGTCACTAAACATCACTGGCGATGAACCTGCTTTTGTGAGTTAGTTTGCCGAGGTCTGAGACGGCCTTACAGACTATGGACCTCTCAAACGTCGGCAAAGCCAAATTCCGCGCGGTGCCAACTCCTGATAAAGTGTGCCGTCAATGAATAAACCCAAAAATATAAACAAGTCTGCTTAAAAGGTGACTCAAGAGTGGAACGAAATATTTCCCGAAATGATTAAAATGTTGCCATGCTCCACAGCAATTCCGCCTGGTTCAATATTAATCTACTAATGGACGGAGTACATTCATTTTGCAGACCAAGAGATCCTTCGGGGCTGTGTGCGTGAGAGCCAAGGAATGCAATGAAACACAGGAATGACAGGAAATATTTCTGCTGTGGACGACTCAGCCCAAAAAAAAAAACACAAACACAGGATGCACAAGAATACGTTACCAATATTAAACTGTTTGAATTCATATATTTATTACCTGTAACTCTGAAACGTCGACGTTACTAACGATTCTTGAAAATTCTGTGAAAATGTTTCATTCATTATATCAACAGTATTTTGGGCATCGCCCATTGTCGGTGGTACGTTTTACGTACTCAGCGTTTCATGAGGTGGCTGTACTCCGCCTTCGAGCGTCATGAAACAGACTAATTTTTCTTACCCATTTTCATTTAACGATGAATGGCGACAAACCTTTTACCCAGCCAACTCCACCAAACAAGTGCGAATCTCAACAGATATCGGAGTATCACAGCTTGCACTGTAATTTTCGTCTAAAAAAAATGTAGGTCAAACTCGTCAGAAAAATTAACGAGCACAATTCCAACGCCGTGTAGCATAACGTGCAGATTCCGACGTTTCGGAGGAGTGCATCGCGGCGAGGACCTGAAGCCTTCGTTTAAAAAATGTTCTTTCACACTTACTGCTTACCACATCGAGCCTCGGAACACAAAGATCACTCCACTGCCAGCTTACAGAACGGCCAAGACACGAGCCACACTCTCAGATTAACTAAAGAGTTGCAATTTGCCACATCGTCACACTTTGTAGCTAAGTAAGCTACAGGAACATGGCGATCAGATCAAGGATACGCTGGGCGACAGATGTAGCACGAATGGGGGCGAGGAATTCATTTAAATTTGTCTTAAAACCTTAAGAAAAACCAATTGATAAAACTGGCTCAGGATATGCTTCAGAGGTAGACTTTTGTGAACAGACCCCCCCTCCCCGGGGGAGGGTGAAAGGCAGGGCATTTCTTAAGCAGCTGCCGGACATGCATGCACCTGAAACTTAAAATGTTTTAAAATCCGGACTTCTGGGGGCCCCATATCGTGAAAATTGGATACATGAGCAAATCGCATAAGACATCGACGTGGCTGCGAGACATAAAAAGAGCGCGCGAAATTTTGGTCGAGAAACCTAAATGAAAGAAACAACTTGGAAGACCGAGCCGAATATGAGATGATAATATTAAAATGGAATTTAAATGAACCGGGTTCACGAATGTGTACTGGATTCACGTAGATCAGGTCAGGGTTCAGTAACGAGGGCTTGAATATACAAGATATTAAAGTTTCGTGTCACATAAGCGACTATCAGATTCCCGAACACGACGGTCCACATAATTTAATAATTGAAAGAAATACAGAAACCATTTACCCATATTGCCACGTTTAAAACAAAAGACTATCACGCGATGATGGAGCCTGTTTCCCCTTGCAGATATACGACCCCGTTTACGAGGTGTCAAAAGGGAGGCGTGTCCCAGGAATTGCGTTGTCTGTCAGCCCGAAACTAATAAGATCCGGCAGTCTTGGGGTAGGACTCTGCGTGACGTAACGTGGGAGGAAACAGGAGAATAAATGTCACTGCTGAAAGGGAAAAGGTCACTGACAAGCGACCACCAGGAATTGGCTTCACGACCTGAACCTCACCTCATTACTTCAAGGTCGCAGACGCATTTTTCAGGCGAATAGCTTGCAATTTCTTCAAGAGGTACAGAATCCTGTGATGGATTCATGACGGCCAATCTATTCCATGGGATAGAGTCGTTCAGCTGATCAATAAATCGTCCGTATTTTATGGAAATCATCCATCGTCGTTCATATCAAAGGAAAAAAATGGTAACTACTTACACATACAATAATCAGAACAGCTGTTTTGGCCAAGACTCAAACCGGGTACCTCCTGACTACAAGTCACGACGACAGATAAACAACGCAGGACCGAACAGCGAGATTAACCCTCTGAAGCCGAAGATCGTCTTATATTTAAGAATTCAGTCCGTACCGCGAAGAAAACACAACACTTCACCATTACAAAGATCAACTGGTTAACGCTGTTTAAGGAAATAATCGCTGTTTATTGTGAGAATCATAGAGAGAGAGAGAGAAAGAGGAAATTGGTGGGGGAGAAGTGAGAGACACTTCGATATCTGGGGGGGGGGGGGGGGAAGCTGGTTAGTACATAATTTAGAAGTTCCTACTGAGGGGAGGGGGGTAAATTTTGACGGCGTTAAGGGGTGGTAAATTTTGATTAATTTAAATCGGGAGGGCTGCATGAGAAGCTTGCACTGGCAACTTGGAACTTGGGAACCATCATAGTTCGTCTGATTAATATTTATGATTTCAGTCCGTACCGCGAAGAAAACACAACTCTTCACCATTACAAAGATCAACTGGTTAACGCTGTTTAAGGAAATAATCGCTGTTTAGAGCAATTATCATACAAAGCGGACGGAACAACTACGCTTTAAAGAGTATCGAATTATCAAAATAACTCCAAGACCACGGGCTCTTTTGGTATCGAATATCTGACATTTGCAAGTACAATACAAGTGCTGGAGGGAAGTGGAACAGCGGAAGTAATGATGTTGACGTCACAAAGAATCAGATAAGAAACCACGCCCACTTTTAACACGATAATAAGCCAAAGGTAGGTCAACCGAGGCGAAATCCCCAAATAAAAGAGAAGCTGTGATGACGCAAAGGGAAACACCCTCTTTTGTTGAGAAATGCACGAGAGATCTGGCAATTGGGCAGATTTTACAACAAAAGGAGAACCTTCAGTGAGTGTGGTCACCTTCAAGCATAATGAACGGGTTAAAGCTTCAATAATTCAATGTTGCCATTGGTTTAGTCGATTTGTGCGTGAAAGTGTTCAGTTTTTAATGGAACACCCTGTATATAAACTTAAGTCGGCGCCAAGTCATTAACAGCGTAGAAGAAATAAAATGTCAAGGCTGTGACCGAAAGGTCATGAGCTATTTCAGATGATATCCCAGAGTTTCGGTTGGAAAGAAACAAAAATTCATCCAAACAATACAGAGTGTCCCGTAAGCCCCAGGGACTAAGGAAATCTCGATTATTTGACAAAATTAATGAAAATAAGGAAATTTCTTTTGGAAATCGCGTTTTTTCCAATCTCAAGTGTTGGAATATTGAACCCAGGACGAGGCGTTACGGTGCTATACACTTTACATTATCAACAGGACAAAACTAAGGCGATGTTGCCAGTTTGACTTGCCAACGAAGGTGGGGGAGGGAGGATGTTTCCTAAGAAGCGGGATGCGGTAGTGAAGGGAAGACAGATATTGCGGGAAAGACGAATTGAACGAAACCAGGAAACCCGAAACGACTAGCAAACTTTCGTGTCAACGTGGCAACATCGCTGAAAGTTTTCACTGGTGTAAACACAGCACTCGATAGTGAAAACGCGCGATTTGCAACGTCGCCCTTCTCACTTTCTACGTATCTTGCCAAGAAACGGAGTTCTCTCCGATTTGCAGGAACTCACGAAACACCCGGTATGTAGCCTAAAAATCAGTAGGCCAATGTACACATATTTGTATCCGCCATGAATTCAGACCGTATACAGGCGCAAATAGGCTGCACGCACTGGCAAGCAGTCTCGACGCCAGCTGCCACAGTATTCTAAACAAGCTTGGCACAATCACAAACACGTGACATAACTTCCATTCCAGACTTCCGGTTTAAGCAAAGACCGAACACTCATTACTAAAGCATCTTCAGTCTTTCTGAGAACAAGCATTTCGCTTCACGCTTCTGGCAAACAACGCCACTTCGTCAACAAAACAATTAATACAGCCACAAAAGAAACTTAATCCTGACTACTATTCGTCACATATCTTGTTAATTAAGCGACCAAAGACCGGCTGACTCGCCAGTGATGCCAACTGAGATTCGCACAGCGATGAAATAGATGATTGTGGTATTCTGGGTTGTGACAGCGTAATCCTGCAGATTACTACGAACATTTCGGAGGAATACATCGCCTCCATCTTCAGGTTTTGTAACCACCTACAAGACTAAACACAGTCATAACTCAGAACAGCACAATCGGCGGTTCAAGTATTTGTCAGACGTCGTGTTGCGAAAATAATTTAAAAATTGTTAGGGATTGTCAGAAAATTTACATTTCGGGGGGGGGGACTCAGATCGTTCAATTCGTGTTTCTCCTGACGTAAACATGAATATGTACTCAGATTATAAAAGAATAATGCAAACACTAGAACCAATAGTGAACTATATAAGTTTAAACAACGCATTAAAACAAAAACACAGAAACAAGAAACCAGCAACGCCAATGTCAATGTTATTTAGTAAGTACAAGAATGACAATCAAAACGTGATTTTTGCAATAGGCCCCTTTTTATCATGCAACCAGCAATTCATCAAAACTATCATTTCAGCCCAAAGTCCTCAATTCTAAATTGTACAGTGTCCCACATAACTCGCAACCGGCAAGCGACGGCCGAGTTCTGCGTCGTCATCGACCCATTACCCGGTAGTTCGCTCGCTGCCGCCGCTGCGGCGTGCTGTCATGGCGGGTCGCGCGTTAAGTGAGACACCCTGTATAATCACATTTTCGTAA